TGAATTCGAATATTTTTCTAGAATGATCCATTTACTCGAATACAAATGATTTTAGGAGAAACTGCCAGAAAATCTTTTTTATTGTCCAACAAATGTTCAATAAAAGCTCTCTGTTAATATTTTCTCTTAAAATTATGCATTATGATGATAATTCAATATTTTGTAACCACTGAGCGAGTGAGGAGGGAATTGGAGAGTTTAATGCATATGGAATTATGCATACTTAAAGGAGCCAGATTGATTTGCGTGACTGGACTGTTTTCATTCATTTGATATATTGATTTTGTCCAGTCTCTTTCATATGAGGGTAACAAACGAGTCATTGTCAACGCACTCATCCACTCTTCCCTCCCCTCCTTGCTTGTAACGAGTGATGTAGGATGGAATGAAGGAAATCATAGAAATAAAAGGAGAAAGTTGATCTTTATTCAGAAATCTTAGTTTTTGATTAATCCACTCCTGGATTTTTTTCAAAACTTTACACAGCTGACAATATTTTTTCATTGGAAAAACACAATGAGGAAGCTCATCCAATAATTTCTTATTCTCATCAGTATTATTATCAAGCAATAGGAGGTCGTGTCGTCGACATCTGCGGCAATCGGCTATGTCCTTATCCTCGCGCAATTCTTCGGGTAATTTCGCCCAAATCTCCTCAATATCTGTGGATGCAAATGTGAGCAGAAATTCTTTCGGGAAAAATGCAATGTCCTCAGCAGCCATAGTCTTGAGACTGTTCAGGTGACAGTAAATCTTCAGAGAGCGATTGAGAGAAGGTGTACAGTTCTTTAAGAACCAAATTTTCAGGTTTTCCACATTCTCTCGACCACAAGAATAGTGAAATGTGCGATCGTCATTGTGATGATGGCACACTGACAAATCCAATGTTGTTAATTTAGGGCAGTTGAAATCCTCCAGGTTGATAATAGCTTTTGAAGAATCGAGAATTTCATTAAGGAACTTTTGTATTTGTAGTCCTTTCACGTAGATGGTACTAGCATTTTTCACCATTCTCTCAATCACTTTCTTCATATCTCCATATGGTGCATCACCAGCTTTCCAAGGAATCCCATGAAAATTTTCACTCAAACACGAGTTGATCTTCTTCGATTTCTTTGGAAGTGCATCCCAAGAATAGGGGGGGTGCAAAAAGAACACATTCCAGCCCTTGATATCCATTATCACTAGTGTTCACAATTATGCGCGCTAATTCTTTAACGAGGAACTCATTGAAAACACCTCGAAAGCCTTGAATATCCACAATCACTTCCATGTTCTCAGCGAGATTTTTTCTTGTGGTTTGGAGAAGTACAAAAATGTAACAAAATTTTTCCGGCCATCGTACGCCTTGTATAGTCTGAACACAAATGACGTCATATTGTTCTAGAAAGAACAAATCGTTTCGTTGACGAAAAACATTTTTCCGATCACTTCTTTTACAGTTTGAACAAATGTTGTTATTTTGTTCTAAAATGAACAAATTGTCTCGTTAATGAAACAGCCATTTTCAGCAAGTGCGTGATTTTTTATAGTTTAAACAAATAACGCAATAATGTTCTAGAAAGAACGAATCGTTTCGTCGACGCAAAAATGTTCCCTCAACTTGAAATGCATAATCCTTTCTTCGCATCGATCTAGAAAAATCCTACGCAACGTTTGCTTTAAATTTTATCTCAATTAAATAATAGACTACATAATTGAGATTGCTTGTGTAGAAGCTATTGCATTTTTTTTTGATAGTCGAACTTGGTAATATGACATCTTTATGATATATTTAACAAAAGGGATCATCTTTCATTTTTATTCTCATTCGAGAGCATTCGCGTCTCGACTTTCTGTCCTTACCGCTCCTGAAAACATAAACAATGCGAGCATATATATAGCACTCACATTCATCGACGCATCATTTTCAATCTGTTCAGTGACTAATTAGTCGTGAGCGCGTGAGGATCAACGACATCTAAGTGACATCGAAACGTTTCCGGTGGATTACTGAATAGTGTAAGTAATTTCTCCAGGTGATTGTTAAGTGATAGTGAGGGTGATCAATTGTCAGTGTGAATTAAATCCTAAAAGCAGCGGAAAAATCTCTTCAAGTGATTTTTGTATTTTTTTAGTGAATGCACTTCATTCCTTTTTCAATCATCCCTTAGAGCTTCAAATTAATAGAATTATCGTACTTTCAGTGAAAATTGGAGAAATAAAGGAGAAGTAGAGTTTGGACTTTTTCATTTTTTCATTCGATTTGTTCAAATTTTAAGGGAAAATAGAGCGAGAATATTTTTCAACGAATTTTTTCAAGATTAGAAAATCCATTTTTTCTCGATTGTTCGCATTAAAAACTTATCATTAGATTTCAATATTTTTCAAACGTCTTGAAGATAACAAAACTGAGTTAGTAGGAAATTGGTCCCATGCAACAAGTTGATTTTTGCAATTTTCAGATAATTTTATCACGTTGGAAATTATATCATCACATTTTTATAGAATTTTTGGAATCATTTTTTTTTTACAGATCATGATGATTCCAATATTGATATTTATGGATTTCGTTCAGGTACATCGTGATAAAAAATGGAGCAGATTACCCTCACTCATCACCCTGGGTACACACTTCTTGGAGGCCGTGTTCTGGTTCCAAATGAGTGGGTGGGTCACATGCCCTCCAGGGTCCTGAACATGGTTGTTGCTATGGCTCTTCAAGACAGAGCAATCTCGGAGGTCGACATCTACGTGGATCTTGTGGGAGTTTTCACCACCCTCAAAGTTCTTCAGGGAGGTCAACTTTTCCTCTTTCAAAAAACCCAAATTCCAGCAATCTTTCCTTACCAGAATTTCCAGAATGGAATACATTAAACAGCGGTAAGATTTCCTAATTATTTACGTATGGAAGAACTCTAATGCATTTGCTAGAAAATCTTAATGGATTTTTTTACTGGAACCCGTATGAAAAAATTAAATAGAAAAACCTTGCGCTTCGTCTAAGAAATTCTATATTGTTTTGTGCCATTTTCTATTGAAGATATTGAATAGAAAAGTCAATCGTTGTTTTTTATAAGAATTCTTGAGAATGAATTTTTTTCTTGGATTTTATTACAAGAAACAAATGAAAATACAATGGAAAAAATTTAGAAAACTTATGCCCAAGAATGTCTAGAAAATGACTATTAACTCTTCTATTAAATATCTTCTACAGAAAAATGACGCAAAAAGCAAATGGAATTTTCACAGAATTCCTATGGAAATTCAATAAAATTTCTTATGGAAAGCGTTAGGTTTTACTATTGAATTTTTTCATATGTTAAATTCTTATTTTCACCGCTTCGATTAGAAAACGTGTAGAAGAAGCAGTGGAATCTTTCGAACAGAATCAGTTAGCAACTACTAGAATTTTTCTAGCGAATGCACTACGTTTCCATGAAAATTTTTGGTTATGCTATGTATAAAAAATACAATAGAAAAACCTAGCGCTCTCTCCAAGAACTTCTGTTGGAAATTTATGAGGATACTATTGAATAACAAAGTGGTATAATTATCGATAGAAATCGATGTAAACAACGAATTAAATTTTCTAATAGAATTCCAATAGAATCTTTATAGAGTTCCAACAGAAATTCTTAGAGAAAGCGCTAGGTTTTTCTATTGAATTTTTTTATACATGGTATAACCAGAAGTTTTTATAAGAACGTAGTATATTCGCTAGAAAAAAAAATCTAGGAGTTTTCTCATCGATTGTATTGAAAGATTCCTGTTGAAACTCTATTGAAGTTCTATTAGAAAATTTTATTCGTTGTTTACACTGATTTCTATCGATAACTCTACCACTTTGCTATTCAATAGAATTCGAATAGAGCTTCAGTAGAATTTCTTGAAGGCGTTAGATTTTTCTATTTAATTAATTCATACATGATGTGTGGTAATTGTGATTTATTCATTTCATATGAAGATAATCCGATTGAATCTTGTGAAGCTTTTGTTAGAAAGTCAAAGGAATTTTCGATGTAGCGGCAATGTCTAATTTTTTTCTCTCTTTCAGATCCAGTTATGCTGAGGATGCTCTAGCTGGGACATCATGTTCATCTTACGTTACTTCATACTCTTCATTTTTTCTATCGAAAGTTTTTCCAATAATTCAATGATATGTTCTTCATTTTTATAAACAATGTAAACAACATAAAGTTTTTTCATATCATTGTAATTATCATGATAATAAAATGAAGAATCATTCCCTTTCTATTTAAAAAAAATTGAATAGTTTTGTCTGCAATTTTTTTCATAAGTTTCTATCTCCAATCAAGTTACAATGAAACGAATTCTATCCAAACATCGTCGCCGGAAATGAAGTGATGCATCATCGTGGGAAATGGAGGACTGTGTTGTTTTTCATCATCACTAACTTCAAAACAGTAGTTTAGAGATGAAAAAGGTTTTGTTTTCACGAGATTGAAATCATTCCAATTGCATTGTTGTATTGTTTCTCTTCTCAACATATTTTAGGATACTCAGCTGGAGGATTTGCAAATGATATCCTAAAAATCTCGGTTGATATTCACATGAGTTTTATTCAATAAAATTTTTCGAATTTTTGTCTCCGAATGGAAGCATTGTTTTTCTTCCGAATCAATCGATTCGGATGAATTTCGGAGATATTCCCGCTTTTTCTTTTTCATCAAAAAAAGCTTGTGCACACGATAACATGAGAAGAAATGGGGACAACAAGTTGAAATTTGGTATGAATATAGGTCTCATGATAGTCTCATGATAGTGAAGTTTCAGAGATATTCAGTTCAACTTCTTGACGGATTTCAATTTTTTCAAATACTCGTCTCAACGGTCACTATGACAGATCAATCAAAATATATATACAAAGTTTTCGAGATATATTCCTTTTTCCTTTTTTTTTCTCTTCTTGTTACAATTTAAGGACAAATACAAAAAGAAATAAAATAATTGCTCATTTTATATTATCATTCACTTGTGCTGCTGGAAGAAAAATTATCTTAACTTTTCTGGTTATCTTTCCCGATGATGAGAAATTCACAAGGGTGATGTTTGTCCTCCAGGAATTTCATGTTCAAAACGCCCTCATTGGCAGCTTGTTGGAATGAATTCAGCTCTTCTTGTTCCTCTAATAATCTACAAGAAATCCTGCCTGGTAACCAAATGGTGAACTTGTTTTTCAAGACGACCAATGCTTTTGTTCCATACCGCGTGTTTGCGAACCTGATTTCAGTGATTTTGTAGAGCTTCTTCATCTTGAGCTCATCAATTTTCTTCATAGGCAAAAAGGAGCTCTCCTGAAGAGCAATTTTATTTAGTCCATCGCAGAAAGATGTATCACGCTTCCTTTTCATAGTAGCCATTCTGTCTAGGAATCATGAAAATTAGTCAAAAAATTTTCAATTCGAGAAATGAACAGAATCATTCAAAGTCTTCTGTGAGATGAGTAAAATACTTAATTTCGATGAATGAAAGAATAAATATCTACCTCTCGTATTCGATGAAAAATAATTCAGAGTTAACGGATGGAAATTATTAACTTTTAGTGGACGATTCACCCTCAAAGACTTTTGTAGCGAAACTGAGTAATGATTTGGGACAGAGGCTTTTTATAAGCTCTAGACTACATTCTAGAAAATTCAATATGACGTAGAAAATCGTGCTTCCAACGAATGTCAACATCAGCTCGAAGCTCAGAGAATGTTTCTAGAAGCTTTACATGTACAAATTACGTCTTCAAACAACACAAAAATCTAAAGAATCGAAGAATGGAAGAAATTACGTGAATAATTCATAATTACGTAGGCTAAAGTTTTTATGGAAATTTCTCGTTTTGTCAAGTTCCAGCAATGATGAACTAATAGAAAACAGTTCTTAAAACGATTGCCAACGCTGATTCGAAGCTTATAGAATATTTCTAGAAAGTCTATACGTAAAACTTACGTTTGTTAATAACATGCAAAATCCAAGAATTTGAAGAATGGGAAAAGAATTTGAGAATTTACAATTACGTAAGCTAATTATTACGTAGAGTTTTTATGGACATTTTCTGTTCCATCAAGTTTCAGTAATCAATAATTTTGGGAATTATTTACCACTTTTTGACCTTGATTTGCGAACATTCCAGAAAAGCCATCCTTATAAATACGGAGGTTCAGAGTTCGCTGTCAGTCATTCGTGGAGCACAGTCCATTGATATTACATATTCTGGTATGATCAATTCTCCTGGTTTAAGTTCTTGTTGTGATTTTATCACTAAACAACGCAAATTCACCCTCTAGTGACTATAAATAATACTCGAATTTCTACAGCAATTCATGATTTGTTCTCGAATCGTTTTTGGACCATTTTTCAAAGGTTCCAGAATCTTTCAGAGAATTCTAGAATCTTCGAAAGAGATATAACAATGCTTGAAAAATTAAACAGTTTTCTTAATGATTTTCGATTTCCTAAGAAATACATCAATCAAAATTACATAAACTTATTGAATTCTTACTCTGAATTTTTAGAACAATGGATGTGAGAACATGTTCGAGGGTAATTAGAATCTTCGAGACTGCATGCAGGAATGCATCTGCTTGTGAAACTGAGCATTGGATAACATGGTGTAATTATTACATCAATCTCTACCGAAAGCTACTTAAAAACGGTAACCTTTCTGCGAGTGATAAACGGAGGTTAGAAATAACAATTGTATCAATCGATGCCTGTGTGTGCTAAACTGAAATTGAAGAGATTACGACATGTTGGAGAAATTGGGAATTCTTCTCGAACTAAAATAGAACAAAGAGTGACATGGAGAGACATGGAATCTGTGTTTAATGGTAGAATACGCACAGGTGCAGTGATCAACTTGAGTCAGAAAAATCTCAAACCCTTTTTGAGAGACGCAAGAACTTTGGTAGTCCGTCGCCTGAAAAATATCTCGACAGAACAGGGAAATTTAAAGGTTAATGGTGTATTAGCAGCAAACTTTCAAGTATTAAAAGACGGTGAAACTATACACCGTATAGTCGTATTGAAGTATTTTGTTTCTTATATAGAAACAATGTCGTATTGAAGTATTTTGTTTCTATATAAGAAACAAAATACTTCAATACGAAGAATCAGATTATCCTACCAACTACAAATATTAAACAATGGTTTAACGAAAATCTCATTGAAAAATTAATCGAGAAGGTTGAAGACTTTCAAGAACGTGACTCTGGGTGGAGTCTTACAGAAATAATTTATCTCATGATCAATATTAACCGATACATTCCACTCATCGCTGGAGTAAATACTTATATACCACTACCAAAAAAAATTCAATGGAAGAAAGCAGTTGTGAACGTGAAAAATAATAATGATGAATTTTGTTTTCTGTGGTCTGTAGTGGCCGCGCTCTATCCCGCAACGACACATGCTGATAGAGTTAGCTCCTATCTTCATTATTCCTCAGTCACATTACCTGGTCAAGATGCTAAACTCACTTATACAGGGATTGATTTTCCAGTGAAATTTAAAGATGTCCCAAAATTCAAGCGTATAAATCATCTATCAATAAATATTTACGGTATTCAGAATGAAGAAATTGTTCCTTTGTATTTAAGTAAACATGAGTCTGATCAGCCGACGATTCATCTACTGCTGTACAGTAGTCGCACATATCTAGCGCCTGACATGCAACCCATTTATCACTTTGCTCATATCCGTAATTTGTCTCGTTTATTAAGATCACAAGTTTCACATCATGAGCATCCTATGTGGTTTTGTGATCGTTGTTTGGGGCACTTCTCCATTAGAAAATCGTTCCATGATCACCAAAAAGATTGTTTCAATATTAACGAGTGCAAAATGGTACTACCAACGGAGGAGAAAAAAATTTTGAGTTTCAAGAATTACAAGTTCAGAGAGATGATACCATTTGTCATATACGCTGATCTTGAATGTATTCTTCAGTCAACTGGAGATGAATCTTTCACTCAAAAGCATATTCCATCCAGTGGTGCGTTTTATTTGCACTGTTCTTTTGATGATAGACGATCGGGATTCAAGATTAAACGTGGTTCTGATTGTATCGATTGGTTTATCAACGAATTGCAACGAATAGCTCATGAGGTTGACGTTGTTTGAGCATAAACGTTGAAATGGAGTCACTCACAGCTGAACAAATCGTAAAATACAAAACAGCACGCAACTGTGATATCTGTGAGAAACCTTTTACTGAGAATGCCGTAAAACATCGTGATCATTGCCATTTTACTGGTAAATATCGCGGTCCGGCGCATCCTCAATGCAATGTAAATTATCAGAATTCTCGAACTATCCCAGTAGTATTCCATAACCTCTCTGATTATGATTCACATTTTTTTATTAAAGTCTTAGCTACAAAATATCCAGGCTCATTACATTTACTCCCACTGAATAAAGAAAAATATATTGCTTTTACAAAACGAGTTGAAGCCACTCAAGTTAGTTGGCGATTCATTGATTCATTTAGATTTATAGCGAGCAGCTTAGATGAATTGGCTTCGTATTTGAATGATGGAGATAAACATAACTTTTCAGTCGTGTAATAATGACATAGAGAAATTTCAACTTTTAACCAGGAAAGGAGTATTTCCCTATGAATACATAGATAATTGGGATAAACTTAAAGAAACAGAGTTACCGCCAAGAGAAAAATTTTATTCAAAATTGAATAATGAGGACATTTCCGTGGAGGATTATGCGCATGCACAAAAAGTCTGGGATATTTTTAATATCACGTCATTGGGTGAATATTCCGATTTATATTTGAAGACGGATGTCTTGCTTTTAGCAGATATTTTCCAAAATTTCAGACGCAATTGCTTATCAGTATACAAACTTGATCCTCTCTATTATTTCACAGCACCTGGTTTGGCTTTTGATGCCATGCTCAAATGCACGGATGTTAATCTTGAATTGGTTACTGATATTGAAATGCATTTATTTATTGAGAAAGGTATCCGTGGAGGAGTGGCGCAATGTTCCAATCGATACGGTTGTATTAACAACAAATATATAATGATAATTTTGATTCAGAGAAAGAAATGTCTTATTTAATGTACTTTGATGTGAACAATCTTTATGGAGCAGCTATGTCTCAATATTTACCCTATGGATCATTCGAGTGGATTGATCCATCATTGATCGATATTAACAATATTCCTGATGATTCACCTACAGGATACATACTTGAGGTTGATTTAGAGTACCCTGAAGAGCTCCATGATTCATATAAAGACTTACCGCTTTTTCCAGAACACTTTGTCCTACCACAGAAGAAAATTTCGAAATTAATGACGACCCTATTACCGAAGAAATATTATGTGATACACTACAAAAATTTGAAGCAATGCCTTAAATTGGGAATGCTTTTGAGGAGAATTCATCGCGTCTTGAAATTTTCCCAATCAGCTTGGTTAAAACCATACATTGATTTGAATACAGAGTTACGAAAAAAATCAACCAATGAGTTTGAGAAGAATTTTTTCAAATTAATGAATAATTCAGTGTTTGGGAAAACTATTGAAAATGTGAGGAAATAGAAAGACGTAAGACTAGTAACGAAGTGGGATGGAACGTATGGAGCTAAAGCCCTGATTGCTCAACCAAATTTTCATAGTTGCACTAGATTCGATGAAGATCAAAATTTAGTCATCATCCAATTAAATCGCAATGAAATATATTTCAATAAACCCATCTATGTTGGATTTTCTATCCACGACTTATCAAAGACATTCATCTATGATTTCCATTATGAATATATCAAGAACACATTCACTAATCGTGCGAAATTGTTGTACACTGACACAGATAGCCTCTTGTATGAATTCAATGTTCCAGATATTTATGAATATATCAAACGTGATATTTCCAAGTTTGATACGATACTATCCTGAAAATAATGAATATAATATTCCACGAATGAATAAGAAAGTCCTGGGTTTGATGAAAGACGAATGCAATGGAAAAATTATGAGCGAATTTGTCGGTCTTCGAGCAAAATCTTATATTTTGACGATTCACGGGGAAATGAAAGAAAAAAAGCGCGCCAAAGGTGTCAAAGGTTCCGCTTTAAAAACTATCACGTTCGATGAATATAAAGATTGTCTTTTCAATAATGAGAGTTTGATTAAATCCCAATATTTGATTAAGAGTAAAAAACATGAAGTCAAGACCATTCACCAACGGAAATTAGCATTAAGCTGGAATGATGATAAAAGAATACTCTGTTCTAATACTACTGATATTGCACCGTATGGTTATAGAAAGTGAAAAAAAATGCTATATTGTTTATCAATATTATCTTTTATTATAATATTCAACAAATTACATGTATCATTATGTTGCAATGAAAATACATATATTTAAAATTATAAATCGCTCTTATCAATCCAACTATTGTGAGAATCATCGAATCCAAGCCATTTTACAAAAATTTTATCACCATGCCTTGTGAGTACTTTTTCCACAAGATAGACATCTGGATGCGTTACTTTCGTTAATTCCTCTTGATAGAATCCACCTTCGATAGGTTTCTCCTCATAATCGATGAGCTTATAAGTCACAGGTTTGGTATGTATAACTTTACTTATCGTGAATATCTCTGTTGACCAGTTGGGTGTATAACCTTTTTCAAAAATATTCTTATATTTGCTGACGCGGACTTTATCTCCAACTTTGAACTTGATTCTCTTCGTGTGAGGAGCTTTGAGTTTTCCATAAACATGATGTAAGCGGTACTTCTCATCTGCAACAGTGACATCCTTTGGTTTCATACGGATTGTGCGATGTTTGCTGTCATTATAAGACTGAACAAGATTCTTAACAATTGGGATCCACTTGTATGTTCCTTGTAAACTGAATTGCTTCCACATTTTTTCTTCCAGCGTACGGTTGAATCGCTCACAAATAAATGCTTTTAAATTACTAAATGTTGAATACATAGTANTAAATATAATATTCCACGAATGAATAAGAAAGTCCTGGGTTTGATGAAAGACGAATGCAATGGAAAAATTATGAGCGAATTTGTCGGTCTTCGAGCAAAATCTTATATTTTGACGATTCACGGGGAAATGAAAGAAAAAAAGCGCGCCAAAGGTGTCAAAGGTTCCGCTTTAAAAACTATCACGTTCGATGAATATAAAGATTGTCTTTTCAATAATGAGAGTTTGATTAAATCCCAATATTTGATTAAGAGTAAAAAACATGAAGTCAAGACCATTCACCAACGGAAATTAGCATTAAGCTGGAATGATGATAAAAGAATACTCTGTTCTAATACTACTGATATTGCACCGTATGGTTATAGAAAGTGAAAAAAAACGCTATATTGTTTATCAATATTATCTTTTATTATAATATTCAACAAATTACATGTATCATTATGTTGCAATAAAAATACATATATTTAAAATTATAAATCGCTCTTATCAATCCAACTATTGTGAGAATCATCGAATCCAAGCCATTTTACAAAAATTTTATCACCATGCCTTGTGAGTACTTTTTCCACAAGATAGACATCTGGATGCGTTACTTTCGTTAATTCCTCTTGATAGAATCCACCTTCGATAGGTTTCTCCTCATAATCGATGAGCTTATAAGTCACAGGTTTGGTATGTATAACTTTACTTATCGTGAATATCTCTGTTGACCAGTTGGGTGTATAACCTTTTTCAAAAATATTCTTATATTTGCTGACGCGGACTTTATCTCCAACTTTGAACTTGATTCTCTTCGTGTGAGGAGCTTTGAGTTTTCCATAAACATGATGTAAGCGGTACTTCTCATCTGCAACAGTGACATCCTTTGGTTTCATACGGATTGTGCGATGTTTGCTGTCATTATAAGACTGAACAAGATTCTTAACAATTGGGATCCACTTGTATGTTCCTTGTAAACTGAATTGCTTCCACATTTTTTCTTCCAGCGTACGGTTGAATCGCTCACAAATAAATGCTTTTAAATTACTAAATGTTGAATACATAGTAATACCATTATCTTCCATCAGTTTCTTGAATTCAGTGTTGTAGAATTCTTTTCCGCGGTCCACATGCAATTTTTGTGGTTTACGCCCTTGCTTCAGCACGAACTTCATGGCATTCGTCACATCTTTTCCATTTTTCGTTTTAGTTGGTACAGCCCAGGCATACTTTGAAAAAATATCAATAACTGTTAGAAAATATTTGTAACTCTTGTTTTCACGAGCATATGCAGTCATGTCAACAAGATCAGCCTGCCAAGTCTCATCCAGTCCGCGCACATCAACATGCCGTCGTGAATAATTTCTTCGAGCTGGTCTATGAAGCTCCTCAACTACTACCGCTTTTTTGTTCATTCTCCAATGCAATTAAACGTTTATCCAAGTTAGAAATTATTTCAGAATTACGCAACGCCAAGTCTTGATTTGTATCATCTTGAATTCTTTTCAATTGTTTCGTGATCATTGGTTGCAGACCATCAAGGATTGACTGAATCTGACGTGAGACAGATTCTTTCAATGTTGTTAGTTCGTCACTCAAATGCCTAATGGTCTTTCAATGATCAACCAACCATTCTTGTACTTCCTCTTCATCTACACGTTTTTGTCTCATAGTCGCCGAAAAATTTTCTTGAAATGATTGGATCATTATTTGAATTCCATCAATTCTCCCACCCATAGATCCAGTGACATTATATATAAGACGAATCTCCTCTCTCATCATATTACGCATTATTTTCAAGGAAACTGCATCATAGTCCTCTACAGAATCAGCTAAATTACACAGTCTGCGATGATCCATATCATAGTGTCCATCGGAAGTAACTTTAAAACCTTCTCCTGGAGGACCCCGACTATCAGAAGTCCTGACAACACTCTTACTCAACTGACGTCCAAACACATCAACACTCATAATTGAATGATGAATTATCATTGCCACAGTCTAATAAATAATGCCGGCCTCACGCAATTCTTCCATTATTGACATAATTTCATTGGTGTGACTGATCTTTCCAGCTGATTGTGATGCCATAAGCAATCGGAGTCCTATCCACCAACTCATTTGGATCATCCTAATATACATAGTCCATTTCTTTAGGTTTTATTGATGCAATCATATGATGAGGAAGAGCTGTTCCAGTTTTCTTGGAGTCAATAAGATTTGCGATAATGTTGTGATATTTCATGCTGCTGCTTGTTCGAATAGCTCCACTAGGCTTGTACCACATTCGATGAGCATTTGTACTCCGTATGATATTACCGTAAGTATGTTTATCAGTTTCGGTTATGAGACTCATGTTAGGTGACTTCTTAAAGATCAATTCAATTAGACCAGGAGTTAATGTATATTTCTCACCCTTAAGGTTCATTAAATTTTCATGAAAAGTGACCACAGAATCAACAATCTTCATATTGTTTTTCAAAGAACGAACACCATATTCTGTATCCAAATCAGTCTTCTCACGCTCTGTATCGTATCGATCTAAATATGTTTGAAGAAGCTTTTGTGAAGCTATAGGGGATTCCTCCTTATTTGATGAAATACGATCAGCTGGAGTTATAGTTGTTATGTCCTATCAATGTTACTAGGAGGACAGTGGCGCCTTTTTGAAATAACGAGCGCCAAACTTCGAAATGTGGATCCGTTAGCCGCTAAACCTTTGATGAGGACTCCATCGATGTTGACTCGTTCATTTTTGGATAAATGGGTTGAAGGTTTATTCCAGAATAAATCAAAAACACCAGTGCTTAGGAAAGCACATCAACACTATTTATTTCAAACTTCTGATTTAAACTTGAAAACTTTGGTAGACAAATACACTTGATAAAACCTTTATGGAAAACTTTAAGAAAAACTAATCGAAGAGAGAAGCTGGAAAAGTTGTCGGAACAACAGCCACGATGGGACTAATTCTATCTTAAACTTAAAATCTAATTGTTGAGTCCATACACCCCTACTAGACCAAAAGTTGCACGCGCAATCTTGGCCCGGTGGAAAGGGAAGAGGGGTAACTTAAAAGAGAAATCGGGAAGCAAAAGAGGGAGAAAGGGAAGCGTGTGACATCAACAGTTTTCCCTCTTGAGGGGTCTCAGGCCCTTCAGCTCCGCGATACAATGAACAAAGGAGAAATCAACATTCAACACGTGTGGAACATGTGAATCAGAGAGACTTTCTAAATATCTCAGAACCGAGATTTAACAATTTTACGACCGTGACCGTCGAGTTTATTTTCTCTTTAAATTTCAGAATTTCAAGAAAAGTATTGTTGTGAGGAATTTTGGAGAGCTATAAATATACGAAGTAAACTCAAGTACTTGACATTTATTATTTCCGGCAACGGTTTTTCTCACGCCTGCGAAGTTGTTTTTCGTCCCTTGTTCACTGTCCTTTCATTCTCGAATTTTTTCAGTATTTGAAGATTCTACGTTATTTAATTAATTTTCAATATTAATTTGAATATCGCCGACAAAGATAGCTGATCAATGCTACCAACCATGAAAATCAGCGTCAAGACATCATACATAGTTTTTATTGGGGATATTTTTTTCACAGGGGTGCTTGTAAATGTGCTATCGAAATCAGGTGAGAGTTCTTCCAGAGATTCATATTGAGAAGGACTCTCATAGTCATCATCCATATCTTTCTGCATTCGAACAGGAGTACCAACTATTCTCCTCTTTCTTCGCTTCTTATTTGAAGATTCTTTCATTACCGATTGATCCACCAATTTCTCGAGCGGAGTTATTACTGGTTTGAGTACTTTACTCATAACTTTCTCAGTGGTTTCTCTACCCAATTTAATCATTTTATGCTTGCGGCGAATGGTATCACTCGCTTGAGTGATATTCCGCAAAATATTCGTCTCTTTCTTCAAATTTTCGCTTTGCATGTTAACACTTGTGTAGTCATAAAACAACTATTCTCAATTCCTTTGAATACTGTATATTTATCTTTTCATGAAGCAATCGAATCCTTTTCGATACCGACCCTCATTGAGTTCACTATCTTTGTCAATTACTATGGAATNTGTGTTCACTATCTTTGTCAATGACAACGAAACTATATTTGCTTTCATTCCAGCATTTCGCACACAAATCTTTGAATTCTGTGAAGGACATGTCAGTATTAACGTGATCCTCATAGATGTGCTTCAAATTCATCTCGTCTTGCCGGAAAAGTATCAGTAAATTTGTGTTGTCACGCACAAGATGTTTTGGTATACGAGCATATGTTTGACATAGATAGAAACTATCAACATCCCTATGTCGCCCCATACAGAAAAATGCTCGCATATTATCTTGTTTTTCACATGCCACATCATCAAAAATCATGATAGAATTTGGTCAAGTGTTTTCTGGTCTAATAACTTCATCGTGTTCACTATACGCAAAATAGCCTTATTCCCTTTCTGCCAGAAAGTAAACGTTTGAGAAATTGATATTTTGGTTGATTTAAAGATTTTGAATATACTGTAACGTGTTATTTTATTTCGACCGTTCAACGGTGAAATTTACCATCCAGACGAGAAGTCATCACTGCGAAGCGAGAGTCAAAAGGGTTTATTTGGGGTTATGATTAATGCTTTGTTTTTTTTTTGTTATTGTATCGAGCCACATATAGGGACTTCGGCAGCCTCGGACGTCGGGTCTCCAGGGAGCTGGAAAGGGGGAAACTCCAGAAAGTCATTATGTGGTAAAAGAGCTGCTTTTGTATTTGGATCGAGTTCCCGCGTTGGAGGGATAGCTCGAGTGCAGTTCACCGGCGGCGCCACTTGTCGGAGGTGACGGGACGAAGGCGGTTATCGGCCGAGATTTGCGAGGCCATTTTGGATCTCCACGCCTAACCGGAAGTGATGGTTTAGGCAGTGCGAGAGAAATTACCGGACTGAC